ACTACCCTCTTCCACTGTGCCTGCCTGTCTGCACCTGATCCTGTCTGCTTCTGTGCGTGACCACCTGGTCATGCTTCTGGTCCCAGTCAGACTCTGAACCCTCCTGGGAGCCTGTGGATGCCTGGAAGTCTGGATCCGGCCACCTGTTTCTGTTCCTGCCAGTTCTGTCTCTTCCTGTCTGTTCTGGATCCCTGACCAGGATCGGCTTCCAGCATCACCTCTGGGACTGCAGCACTGGGACATTCTTGGTCTGGACTGTTAAACCAGGTTAGTGACCAACACAGATAATCTTCTATCAGATGATGGTCACTTACCTGTGTTTCTCCCCTAGAGTGTCTGAGATTATGCGGTGCCTCATCTCCCCATGCCTGCAGAGTCCGCGAGCCTCAGCTCCGCTTTTGTTTTGTTTTATTTAATAAACGTTTGAACTTTCCTACTGACTGTCTCTCCTTGAATACTGGGTCCACCTGTCCTCGTTTCATGACAGTATTGGAGAAAGATAAAAATCTGAAATACATTTGTAGATATCCAGAATGTTTATTCTAGATAAGGAGAATGTCATTTTGTTTGAAATGGTAATTTAGACAAAGAAAAAATGTTTTTTTCAGATATGAGGAATACATATTCAGTAAAACTAGTACCTATCAAAACGGCTTGCCAAAGCTTGTTGTTACCACAATAATATTAAAGGATTATTTCTTGAATGGTAGTAGATCAATCTATGTATTTAAGTGAAATCATTTGGCAGCAGGTGAGGATGAAGAGTAAAAACCTTCTAATAGATGGAACCTCATCATCTCATGTTCCGTTTGTTACCCATTTATTTCAGCAGACCTGAATAAAAATAAGTTATGTGCACTGTTAGGTATTTTGAAACCAAAAACTAAAAATAATAATACAAGACTATGAATTTAGGTTAGAAGAAACATAACATAAACAATGTTTATCTGTGTATTGTGTTTTATTTTTTTAATGGATAAAAATTCTTCATTCGTTAAGTTATTCTCATTAGGTTGTGTATCAACAAGATTTACTCAAGAATATAACATGGAAAAATAGTCCTAATAATTTTGTTAAAATTTACTGAGAAATTAAACTAATCAGTTTATACCTGCCTTTGGCTATTTGAGCAATTTCACTTTTACGATTTCAATTCACTTTTTGCAGAATATCTATCTGCAAGTGTCAGATTCCAGAGATCTGCCACCTATCTCCAGCAGAGAGCGCTGTGGGCCTCCTGAGCTGAACCTTCTACACACCTGGACATCATCAGCTCATCAGAGGTCTACACTACTTAAGCAGCAACCAGACCTTCCTTCGATGCCGGAGTGTCGACCTAGTTTGGTTAGCGAACCTGAGCCTCTGAAACTTCTGAACTTAGCTAGTAGACTCTAGAGAGGAACAAGCCTTCTAACCCGCCTTTGTCTTTTGTGCTCACAGGAATACCTGAAGCTCTGGATGAGCTCCTCTTAGAAACCTGCCTGCCTGTTCATGAAAGCCAAACCTGAAGATCTCAGTTTGGATTCCTTCTTCAGCTCTTGGATTGAGCAAGGAACATACTCAAGCCAGAAACCCTTCTAGCTCGGAGCTAGACGCTGCTGCTGCTTAAACTCTCTGCCACATCATTGACTCTGGACCTACGGTATCTCACCTCACGGCTCTGTTACAATCGCCTCAAGGTACATCCTGATTCTTCTCACTATCAATCCATCATCAGCCTGGCTAATCAAACTCTCATCTCTCCAGAAACTCTGAGACCAGTCCCGGACCAGTACCAGAACCTGACCCAGTATTATATTGTTGCATCTTTCAATAAACCTTGTTAAACTTTCCTTCAGACTCCGTTGTGTTGTGCATTTGGACTAAGACCTTAAACCCAATCATGACAGCAAGCCATTGTGACTTCTGAAATTAATTGTTAAATCCTACCAGTATCAATAATCTTAAAGAATCTATCGGGATTAATTTCAAACATGACTTTTCCCTCCTACCAAACATTTGTATATTTCCTGTTATGTAATAACCTTTTTCTTTTATGTTAGTAGCTATTTTGCTGTGTCCTTGCTCTTTTTTGAGTGGGAATAAACCATGTCTTGTTAAATAATATCTGAAATGCATTTACATTTAGTATTTTAAGTTTATTAATTTATTTTTGTTACTGCAAAATACAATAAATTCAGGTGTGGCCTGCCCAGTAGAGAGACATTACATTTTCATTGCCCATACTGTTTTTCAACCATTGAAAGAATGGACAGGTTTGTTAATCACTTGGTTAACCACCAAATGACTTTCAGTATGGTGTCCAGCTGTGCATTAGCCCAGCCACCTGTCCATCCAGCAGCTACCACCATCCAGGCAACACTGGTCCCTGTCTACTCAGAAGACATGATTACATGTGAAATGTGCAATCTGCGCCTGAGAAAAAAGAATCTTTGGAATCTTTGAATCTTTGAAAAGAAAACACCAGGAAAACGTAGAGCTCATTTCACAAAATCATCATTTAAGGAGTCAGTGTGTGGATGCCAAAAAGGTTTGGCAAATAAACAGAACAAAAGTGCACTGTGAATAGAGGTACTAAATTGGCCAAAATTGTTGACTAAATTCCTTCCCGACCAAACCTCTTTTCCATCTAGACCTTAATAAATAAGGAAAAGGATATTATATTTTAGATTTTAACTTATTTAAGAGTATCATTCACAACATATAAATGTAGTATTTTGAACTTCAGTACAAGCAAGTATTTGGTTATGCAGTATCTGTTTTCTTAATCTGCACTGGACTGGTGGTCTTTCCAGGGTCCACCGCAGCAGCCCTCGCGACCCCACTATAGGGATAAGCGTGCGTGTATGATAATGGATGGATAAATGTGTTCATAATGAAATGAACATTTGTCTCTAAAATATTGATTTTATTTATGTTTTATGACTTTTATTCGGGATAGATAGGGTGTAAGGATAGTTAAAAAAATCTCCATTATGATTCCTTTTTGTTGCTCATTTTAGATTATTTGTTACTATTGTAATTTAAACATCCAAAAACAATACAGATTTTAAAAAGTTTTGAAATGAAAAAAAGGGACATACCACGTGACATAAAACATTTTGTAGCCATTTCTTTACTACGGAAGCGTATTGCATTCCCCAAAGAAAAAAAATCTGACAGCTTATCTCATAATTACGAGATATTATCTCATAATTACGAGATCATGAGATAGGTGTACTTGCAATATTCTGCAAACTCATAACAGAACCATGCCTTTGCAATTACACAGACAATCTTTATTTGGCTCAGATTTTCTGCTAGAGGCATATTCCTGAATGCAATAGCAAAGGCACTGTTTGCTGCTCCATCAGAAGTGTGTATTTGGCATTCAAAATTTAGATGTACATCTTCAGAACCCTCTCTGCAACAGCGAATTAATTAAACAAAGGAGGGATTCTAAAATTTTGCACAGACAATAAATTAGTCTAAACAACAAAAAAGACACTTTAGAAAAGGTGGACTACTTTAATTTTATTTTTTTAGCACAGGATTTCTCTTGATATCAATAACACATGAGTAGTAAGAAAATAAAAAAATAATAACATAATATTCTGCAAAAGACCAGAGAATGAGTTTTATCTTCCCACAAGACAATGATCCAAAACATAAAGCAAATTCTGCAATGGAATGACTCACAAATAAACATTTCCAGATGTTAGAATGGCCTAGTCAAAGTCCAGACCTGAATCTAATTGAGAAACTTTGGAAAGAATTGAAAAACGCTGTTCACAAGCAGTGTCAGTCTCTCGATGTGGAAAACTGATAGAGACATACCCCAACTTATTAGTAAATGTAATTGCAGCAAATGGTGGCGCTACAAAGTATTAACTCAAGATGGTTGCAGAATTCTGCGTACCCAATTTTTAACCCAAGTTTAAAATTTCCAGTACATTTGGTTCCCCTTCATGATAGTGTCCCATTTGCTGTTGATTCTTCAAAGAAATATACAATTTCATATCTTTATATTTGAAACCTAAAATATGGCAAAAGGTCGAAAACCTTGAACTGGGGCAAAAACGTTCACAAGGCACTGCATTTATTTATTTTTTGTTATCGCCTGACTTTGTACAATTACTTTTTTGATGCCCCTTTTCTTTCTTTTCCACTTCCTGTTGTTTATTAGAGCAAATTAATTTCTCTGTTGTAAGGTAAATAAAAACTTATCTCTTATCTTATGTAAGTAGAGAGCAGTACAGAAACACCACAGGAGACAGTACTCTCTCCATTCCTTTTTACTCTGTGCACGTCTCAATTCCAGTACCAGACAGAGTCCTGCTACCTGCACATACTATATACTTAGATGACTCTGCAGTCATTGGGCGCATCAAAGATGGACAAGAAGCTGAATACAGGGAGCTGGTAAACCGGTTTGTGGCATGGTTTGGAAACAATCATCTGATCCTGAATGTCAACAAAACAAGGGACAACAATGTAGATTTCAGAAGAAACAGGAACAAGTTGTTGTGGTTGAGGAGTATAAATACCTTGAAGTTCACCTGGACAACAAACTAAACTGTTGCTGTGCAGCTGTAAAGCAGTCAAAGCAAACTGTACCTCCTAAGGAAGCTTATAGGTCGTTCAGTTTCTACAGAATAATGCTACATATGTTCTATAAGTCAGTTTTGGAGAGTGTGATCTCTTCTGCCATCATCTGCTGGGGTATTAGAGCGAGTTACTGCTCAACAAGTTATTAAAAAGGGTCGGCTCTGTTCTAGGAACTCCTCTAGAATCTCTGGAGATTATTTCACAAAGAAGATTTCTTCATAAAGTGAAGAAGATCATGGACACCAGCAAGCATCCTCTTCATAAGATTTCTCCAGATCTGGTGCAAGATAGACCACTATGGAAGATTCTTCATGCCTACAGCTATTAACATCTTGACAGAAAATAACAACTTTCCTTTACAAAAATATTTAATTTCACTTTAGATTTAATATAGTATTTCTGAACTGCACTGAATTAAAATGAATGAAAATCACATGAATCATGAGCTGGACCTACGTAAGAGGACATATTTAAACAATTGTTCTGCAAATTCAGATATAGGACAAAAGTTAAAAAATATTATTTCTCTACAAGATATTAAGAGTATGATAGGATTACCATAATTGTTGCTATAAAGAGTTTTTTTTTTTTGCTTTGCTTTTTTTGAATCATTTAGTTTTTACATAAAATACAGATTGTTGAATGGTTCAATCTGCCATATATCAGGAAATGAAGCAGCCAGTCTGTACATCATCTTCATCCATAAGCTGCTGAATCAGATCACTTAGCTCTTTGTTGTGTTCTTCCCCCCGCTGTGTCATTTCCTGTTGACTTTTGGCTTTTTTCATCTCCTCTTCTTGTTTTGACAGCATGTCCTTCAGTTTTTTCACATTCTCTCTTTTTCTGGTCACACATTTCACCACATCTGTAATTTCCTTTCTGTGTTTGTTTTCCTTCATATCTTTGAGAGCCTTTAGCATATTGTATTTTTCATCCTTCTGTAGCATCATGGCTGTAAATTCTTTCAAGTATTTTTCTTTAAACTCATTGAGCTTTTCTGCCTTTTGTCGGGCTTCCTCCTCATACTTTTCTGTTAACTTTTGTAAATCTTGCCTGAATACATCCTGCATTTGCTGTTTATAAATGGCCTCCTTTTCTTTTCTTATTCTTTCCTCCATCATTTTTGTATAATCTTCTTTTTCCTTTTCATAATCATTTTCAAGTTTATCTTTTTCCATTTTCCACTTTTTGTCATCTTTTTCCCATTTCTGCCTTAAAGTTTCCTTCTCCTTCTCCAAGGCCTCGGGAGTTTTGAAATTACCTTTCGGTTGGTTTCCAATCAAAGCTTCTCTTTCCTGCTTCCATTTCGCTTCCTCTTTTTTTCTCTGTTCTTGTTCTTTCTTTTTTTCTTCCTCACTCTGTTGAAGTTTTTTCTCTATCTCCTTAATTTTTTCCTCCTTCAACTCCTTTTCTTTCTGTGCATTTTCATTTCTTTCCATTTCCTCCATTTGCTTTTGGTGTCTTTCCTCCAGCTTCTTCTTTTCTTTCTCCATTTCTTCTTCTTTCTCCTTCAGGATTAGCTGAATTTGGTTCTGTATGGCTCTTTCAGCCTCTTGCAGCATCTCATTGGTAAAGCATCCATTTTTAGCCACCAAGGTATCAATCTTTCTGACCAGCTCTATAACCTGTCTGCGGTTTTGGGTGTCATTGTTGTCAAACATATGGTATCCCCCACAGTTGCCAATAAACTTTTTAAAGGAGACATCAATATATTCTTCAACATATTCTTCTATGGACAGTTTACCTTTCAGCCAATCTCCTCTGGTAAAAAGCATGATGGTGTACTTTTCAGAATTCCTCCCAATACCTTCTTTAATTAGTTTTAATGTCTCCATCTCCTCCGGTGTGATTCTTCCTCCAATTGGTACCACTACCAGGAAGACGTGTGGACCCGGTGCCAGAAGGCTGATACATTTGACCAATTTTAGCTGCACCTCCTCTTGTGTTAAACTGTCATCAAACAAACCAGGAGTGTCCACCACAGCAACTGGACGGCCCTCCACCTCACCCAGGGATTTCTTACAGCACCTTGTCACTGATTTTTGGCTTATGTCAACTTCAAACTCTTTTCTACCAAGGATAGTATTTCCTGAAGAGCTCTTCCCACAACCAGTCTTCCCAATCAGAACAATTCTGAGGCACTCATATGTCCACTTGTCTTTATCTCCTGTACAGAAAAACCAGAGCATCAGTTTACTCATATCTTTTTTTTCTTGCAGATAGTTTCCCTAGAACCCAAGGAAGTAATAAAAAGACCTATTGTGTTTTTTTTTTTTTTTTTTTTACATGGCATTGATTCAAATAATAATAATTAAATGTTACACAGAGAAGCACAAAACCATGCATAGAGAGAAGGTACAATCGGAGGGGAAAAACAGAAAAAAAGGAGAAAAGATGAGAGAAAGAGGAGATAAAAGGGAGATAATGATAAAACATCGTCTGTCTGCTTCATCATCTGCAAAGAGATGTAAAAAGAACATCACAACCAACAGACTATGGAGGACCAACTCTGCCATATATAAAATAAATACATAAATAAATAAATGCTCAATAAATAAATACGCATACAATTAATTGCCACCAAAAATACAATCAACAAATAAATGTAAGTAGAAATTAAATTATACAGTGAGACATAAATGTATATAACTCTTTTAATTAGCTTCTTTATTTATTTGCCTTTGTTATATTTACCTTGTTTATTTTTTTGTCCTTTATAATCTTCAACTTTGTTATTCAATTACTTATATTTTTAAATATTTATTTAAGTGCATGTTATAACATTTTTGTCTGTTTTATTCTTCCTTTGTATTTTTTTACCTTAGGTATTTCTTCGCCGCTATTTATTTCTGCCTGTCGTAATAATTTTGATTACTCGTTACTAAAAAAAATGAACGGCGTTATTCACGCCGTTACTCCCATCACTGCTCACACCAGACAGACTCTGTAAAGATGAGCCAAAAAAAATAAAAAATGCAGACGCACATTCACACATAACACTCACATCCAACATCCAATAATCCCAGGACCGAGGACCCGGCAGCACCAGTGGTTGGTCCCAGGATTATACGATGACCCAATAAGTGAACCTAAAATCTGGATGGGGGGAGGGGAGCGGTGACACCACCACACCAACCCATCTCGTTCCTGCTTCGGGCTTGGTCCCCCACCCCGGACCAGACCAACCCCCAGCAAAAGCCCCCCCCCTTGATCTGGGCCGACATGCCCTGCACAGACCAAACAACCAGAGCCCCCCCACCCCCCGAAATAATTCACTCAACCGTTTCCTCCCCTCCATTTGCTACACGTCCCTCCCTCCATCCTTCTTTGGGGAGAGCAGAAGTGACAGCCCTGGCACCGGCAGGGCACCCAGGTCCCGCAGCAGCCCCCCACAAAGACCACGGACCAGGTGGCTCACTCTTCCTCCAGGCCCCAGACTCCGGGTGGCAGCCGGAGAACAGAGGTGTGAAAAGACCCCGATCCTCCCTGCGCCTGCTCGAATGTGGTGTTGTTGCGTGTTGATTTCAAGTGTAATTAAAACTGGGAGTACCAAAAGAGGGTGTACGGCACAGTCCACCCCCCCTCCGGGAGACAGGCGGTGCCAGAACACTCAATTTCTGAATACGAGAGGGGGTTGGGGGTGCCTACCATGGTTAGGCCCACAAAATAATGCCCACAAGCCAAAAAAGACATCCAGGCTGTGATCATTCCCACTACCCCTCTCTCCCCTTCCCCCACTAGCAGAGTGCAAACCCCTGGAGGGGCAAGCATCTGCCATAAGGTGTTAATGTCCATGCCCCCCCACCAGCTCAACAGGCGCTGAGGCCCCCCAGCCCCATTGTATTTCCAATTGTCTAAATACACATGGAGACTTTTATTAAGAATATTTCAACATGAACAAACCTTCCTGGAGAATATGAAGTGAACTTTCTGAACAGGAACACAGAAACTCTGAACAAACTTCCAGGACTCTCGGGGCTGTCAGGATGTGGTGTTGGTTTTGAGGACCCAAATGCAGAGGCAAGTTGACAGAGGTGAATTTAAGTGGGTTTAATTAGGTTTACAGGAACTGAGGCAGGAATAAAAAAATCCAACAAAACAACAACGAACCAGAACCAAGGAGACATCAGGGGAAAACCAAAACTCTAGGAGCCAGGGAGAGAGGAGAAAGGCAGACAGACGTTAGACGAGGATCCAGCAAACAGGAACTGAAGAGGGAGGGCTTTTAAAGGGGACAAAGACAGAGAGAGAGCTAACGAGGGGATTGAAACAGGTGAGGGCAGAACAGAAAACAGAGCAAGGGAAAGAGAACACAAGAGGGCAGCAGAGTACAACAAATGGAAAACCTGGAAGACAGGAACTAATAACAAACCAAGACTCTGACAGGGGCCTTATCAAGCTGCCCTACTTGGTCAGGGACTATTTATGTCCACATGCCCATCAATCTGCCCTCGACAGGAATAATACAGGTTTAACTATGTACTGCATGAAGAAGTCAGAAAAACAGGTATATTGTAACAAATTCCTCCAAACAGTGTTTATGGTAAAAATGCATAGAAAGTACAATACTATTTTTTTTCTATTATTACTCAAGTTGCTTATTATTTCTAAATGTTGGGGAAAAAATATTGTAAAAGCTGATAAAGCCCCAGTGAGTGTTGGAAGAAGTCTGAAGAATGT